TGACAGACAGGCAGCAGCTAGTGAGCTGGGCAAACTCACATCCAGGACTATCACCATCAGCACTGGCTGTGTTCTCTCCCCACTGCTCTTCTCTCTCTACACGAATGACTGCACCACGAAAGACCCCTCTGTCAAGCTCATCATTTAAAATCACTCTGTCATTGGTTAACTATTGCTTTTAAGTATTTTAGCGGGAAAACCAATTGCAAAAAACTTTAGGCGGAAACATTCTAAAAAAGTGAACTTTTTGTAACATTTGACCTGATCGGGTGTTACAATTTATCCCTTCAGACTCCAACACAAACTGAACAGGCAGATTTAAAGAGTTTATTTCCACGGAAACGGTATTTATTTTATTTAGATGTTGATTATCAATTTATGAATTGCTAAAACTAAATTAGAAATGACTTTTTACTAAAAAAAATATTTAAAAGTTGAAAAAGTTTTCTATCATTTGTGCCAAGGTGTTAAAACAGAAACAATAAAACAGTGAAGAGTGGAAGAAACACTTGTAACAACCTTTTTAAAGTCTTTAAAGAAAATCAGCAAATGAGAAAAAAACCCTGAACTAAAGTGATAATTCCACTCCTTCAAACACAGTGGTTTGCTGCCAGTCAGTATGTTCTCATTATTCCAGATGTGTGTTTAAATGCAGTCTTCCAGGAATCATGAGCTTGTTTGTGTACATTTCAGAGTAAATTCAAAATTACAAGAAAATTTAAATGTAACGTAACACATTGTTTGAAAATCAGAATCTAGAATCGGTAAGTTATTAGAAACAAAGACTAAAGGGACTTTGCTAGAAATATGTTTCTTAAAGAAACCTGCTTGATTAACGGACAGTAATGCATTAAGTTTGTAAGTCAATAGATTGGGCATCATTTGTTGAGAGCACGCAGAACAGTCTGCTGTCTGCTTCATTGTTTCACATCAGTTCCGTCCAGAGAAGTTTTATCTGACTCATGATTTCACTTCCCTAGAATTCAGAAGCCTTCAGAGAGTTTGTTTTTATTCAACCGTGTTTTTTGTGAAAATGAGGGAGCTGTTTTGAATGACATCTGAAAAAATACAATTTGACATTCTGTTCAGATTGTCAGAGCACTGGCCAGAGATCTGAAGCGGAAGTGTGTCGTTTCCTGAAAAGCATGCACACAATGAAATAATCACCTGCTTCCAGAAGTCTCCACATGTCTGCCATTGTTGGTCAAACAGATTCGAGTCAGTTTGGATGCCAGGATGCTCACTAATAACAGCTTATTCATACGCACTCATTTCTTCACACAAGTTCAACAAATGTAATTATGTTTAAATGACCAAATTAAGTAGCAATTAACTAGCTAAAGAACTAGAGAACAAAAAACGTTACTTAATGTAGGTCATTATAATAATTTATGGCTTCTTACAACTGAAGTTTACCATAGAAAATCACTAACAAAGTGTTTTTAGTATTAAGTGAAATATCTGATTATCAATGTTTCATTTAGAATATTTTTATAAAAAAACAATGGTAATCGTGATATCTTTAAAATATGCATCACATGAAATTGATCTCACTGAATAAAGATGAATTGTCCTCATCATTTCAGAGCAGTACTGGGATATGAGACACAAACGACACACTTTAGCTTTGAAATACACAGTTGTTAAACACTCGCATCAGAAAGCACCACAAGAAAAGCTACTTTAGAGTCATAAATTTAAGATTTATTATAACAAAACCAGGAACTGTTTGTGTGGTTGGTTTGAGTATAATTCCTTACAGATGTACTGTTTTGCATTACAGGACTTGACACAGTCATGCTGGTGTGAGGAGCGGATGAGTGTGTGTGTGTGAGTGAGAGAGTGTGTGTGTGTG